CATTTAGCTCTCGGCGCAGAGATCCTGGCCGCAATTTCCGCGTTTTCTGCACCGAAATCGTAAGGGCTTACCAGGTTCTCGCCCGTGCGACCTAATAAGGATTTCCGTTCAAAAACGCCGAAATTGCGGCCAGGTTCTCTGCACCGAGAGTTAATCCCCAAAGGAGTTAGTGCCAGGGGGGACTGTTGGCAGCATGATAAAAAACGCCGAAATTGAGGCCAGGTTCTCTGCACCGAGAGTTAAATCCCCATAGGAGTTAGTGCCAGGGGGGGACTGTTGGCAGCATGATAAAAAACGCCGAAATTGCGGCCAGGTTCTCTGCACCGAGAGTTAAATCCCCACATAGGAGTAAGTGCCAGAGGAGTAAAAGACGCGGCGACGTGTAATTGCCGTGCCATCATTTATGTTCGTCAACAAATAATTGTACTCCACAGAACTGTACTCCCCGTGGCGGCAAAGAGGGAAAAACATATGGATGGATCGTGGTGGAAAATTTCCCGTAAACCTCCTAAGCACCACAGCGAGGCAAGGGGTAGAGGATAAGGAAGAGATGGAGATGAAAGGAGGAAAAGGATAGTAGTAGAGGAGGAAAGAGAAGGAGAGGGGAAAAGAGGGGAAGAGAGTGGCAGAGATGGGGAGAGAGAGGGGGAGAAGGGGGCGGAGAGAAGAGCAGATAGGGGGAGAGAGGGGGAGAGAGGGGGAGAGGGGAAAATAGGAGACGGTTGCAAAAGGGGGTGAGGAGAACGAGAGCAATTTCGCTTCGGTTGTGCTGCGGCCAAGCTGGCAGATTTATATTGGGGGGGGAGGTAAAGGGTGAGGGGGGGGTAGGAGAGGGGTAGGGGGGCCGGCGTAGAAGACCGCACAGATTGGAAGAAAAGACCATTGGGAGAGGAAAACAACACACCGATAGAAATTCAGCAGGTTATCAGCCTAAAGGAGGAAGAGAAGACAAGAGATAAGGGGCGGTACGAAAAGATCTGTTTGTCATTTTTTTGGTCATTTTGCTATTCGACATATAGTGATCGGTTAGGAAGGGGGAGGGGAAGGAAGGAAGAGGGAAAGGAAGGTGGGAGGAAGGAGGGGGAAGGAGAAGCAAGGGGGAGAGGGAAGGGAGGGGGAAGAGTGGAGAAGGAAAGGAGTGGGGGGAAGGGATGGAGTAGGGAAGGGAAGGAGAGGGAGAGTAAGGAGGAGGGGAGGCGAGGGACGAAGAAATAGGGAGGGAGAGAGGGAGAGAGAGAGGGAGAAAGGGAGAGGAGGGGAGAGCGAGAGAGAGCACGAGAAGCAAAAGAAAACGAGAGAGAGAGGAAGAAAAAAAGAGAGGGGGAGAGAGGGAGGGAGAGACAGAGAGAAAGGGAGGGAGAGAGAGAGAGAAAAAGACGGAAGGAGGAAGGAGAGAGAGGGTATAGAAACTATAACAAAGGGGGATGGATCGGATGAACACCAAGGAGGGAGAGAATGAAGCGCATGCGCGACTATCGATGAGCCTCACCGCACTACTCACCAAATTGACAAAATGGAGAATGAATCTTCCGCTAGAACGTGAAATCATGCATCCGAAATATTTGCCTTTTTCAGATTTGGTGAGTAGTGCGGCTACCGCCTTCCCCCAAACACAACGCACCCTTATTTTGGCTGTATCTGACCGGAATTATGGCTTGTATACATTCATTTTTAGGGTGCGTTCTGTTCGGGGGAAGACGGTAGGGCCCAGCTGGGCCTCGCAACAGACAGAAAATGAAATCCCGGGAATCATACGGCGAGGGCCCAGCTGGGCCCTAGCCACTGGGCCCACCTGAGTTGCATAGAGAAAGAGAAACGGGAAACCGAACCGGTATCATACGACGCGGGGCACCCTGCAAGTTGATCCTGTATAGATCAAGACAGTAAAACAGAAATCAAAGGCGGGAGGAGAGAGAAAGGGGGAGAGTGGGCGGGGGGGGGAAGAGAGGAAGAGAGAGGAAAAGAGAGGAAGAGAGAGGAAGAAAGAGGAAGAAGAGAGGGAGAGAGAGGGGGGGGGGGGAAAGGACAACGGCCCAACAGGTAGGAGAACGACAACGAAGACGATGACAACCAGAAAAACAAAACAAACAGACCCGTGAATGAAAAGTGGAGGAGGAAAAGACGGGGCGTAGAATAAGGGTTAGAATAAGGGGGATACGATTCAATCTAGGAGCGAGAAAGGGAGGGAGAAAAGAAGAGGGCAAAGAGGGGAGAGAGAAAGAAAGTGCAAGGAGACCCTACGCCTTCCCACTGAGAGAGGTCATGATGCTCTCTTAGTCGTTATCCATCGCTTCACGAAAAGCGCACATTTTACCGCTCGCGAGGTCGCCGACCTCCTTTTGGCGCTCGCGAGGTCGCCGACCTCCTCTTCCAGCGAGTCCGAAGAGACCACAGCCTACCTCGGAGCATCATCTCTCGCGAGGTCATCTCTCTCTCTCTCTCTCTCTCTCTCTCTCTCTCTCTCTCTCTCTCTCTCTCTCTCTCTTCGCCGTACTTTCTGGCTACGGGTGAGAAAGCTGGGAGGCAAAGAGTAAAACCAACGAATGAGGTACAGAAATTACAATAGAAAAGGAGGGGAGAACAGATTAAGGAACAAGAAAGGTAGCCCAGCGAAAAGCCGTTAACCTAACCCCCAACGAGAGGGGGAGAGACGAAGAGATAATAGAAAAACGTGATAGACGTAAAGCATGATGACAGAAAAACGCGAAAGACGGAAACCTATCTTTGCAATAGACACCTAACCCCCAACATAGTTAGACTCCACTCTGCAGACTGTACAAGATTCAGTCTCCTGAATGATGAGCCAGTCGGTGAAACTTCGACGAAAGAGCCACCTGTTTCATGTCTCTTTTTTTCCCTTTTTGCCTACGTTTCATCGGCTTCTTCTCTCTCTCTCTCTCTCTCTCTCTCTCTCTCTCTCTCTCTCTCTCTCTCTCTCTCTCTCTCTCTCTCTCTCTCTCTCTCTCATTGTTCGTGTACATATATCTGCCTACGGTCTACCGGGCAGTTCTGATCGACGATATATAAATATAGACATAGATATATTATGGGAGAAAGTAGGACGTCGAAAATCCTACACGCGTGCTGACGAGGAAGGAGAGTGTATAGCCCCAGCCGCACCATTCACCAATGTGAAAGCGGCAAAATCTAGCGGCGGCGGGCGGAATCTTTCCACGTTCTAGCGGAAGATACACGCTCCATTTTGCACACACATTAGGTGAGTTGTGCGGTGAGGCCCAGTGCGAAACAACCTACACGTTTTCGGGATTTTTCAAAGCGTCATAAACATAGCAGGAGGGGGAGAGACAGAGGAGATAGGAGGAGATAGGAGGAGAGGGTAGAAGACCGGAGGAACTGGGTCAACCAAAAACATACTAAAAAGAAAAGGTAGAAGAACTGCGCCATCGCCAGAAAGGTTTGAAAGAAGACACAAGGAAGAGAGGAGGGAAACGAACAAGAGGAGATTCATCCTCACAGTGGGTGGAGTCCGACTCTTTCCTGAATAGGAATGAATGAATTGGACCGCAATTACCGCCAGGTACGAATGGTATTAGACCGCAATAACGTCCAGAAACGACTGGACAAAATTCCTGATGTGCGTTAAACCTAACAAGCGAAGGACGTAAAGCGATGGTCCTCATCAGCAGAGCATAGGGGAAAAGATCTCCCCAGAGTTCTTTTTTTTTTTTTTTTTTTTCATAAAACAGGGCCTTACGGTCCTGGCTAACTGGTGGCCTTAAATAATGCCGAGTGCACCTCCACACAGAAGCTGGCAAGATCCATCGGCCACACACAATCCAAAGTGGCGTCTGTAACTGGTCACCTTCTATGTGAAGATGCATTCACCGTTTTCATAGTTTCCCGAATGGTGCGGCGAGGCGAAAACAGCGCGATGCAGGTAGAAGGTCCGTAAGGAAAAGGAGACATATGGCGCCAGAGAAGGGAGAAAGAGAAAAGAGAGAGAGAGAGAGAGAGAGAGAGAGAGAGAGAGATGGAGACAGAGAGAGGGAAGAGAAGGAGAGAGAGAACAAAGGGGAATAGCTCAGTTGGTAAACCCATGAGCTGTTGGAATACAGACTCAAGTTCAAAACCAGATACTTATTAGATGAACAGAAAAGGTGGAGACAGAGAGACAGAACGGATGGAGGGAGAGAAGGGAGGGAGAGAAGGGAGGGAGAGAAGGGAGGGAGAGAAAGGAGGGAGAGAAAGGAGGGAGAGAGAGAAGTGAGGGATAGAGAGAGAAATGCAGACAGCAAGGAGATAATCGCGACATAACGGAGAGATGACGGAGACATAACGGAGATATGACGGAGATATAACGGAGACATAAGAGGAGAGAGAGACAGAGGAGGGATGGAGGGAGGGAAGGGAGAGACAGAAGGGAGGGATAGAGAGAGAAATGCAAAGAGCAAGGAGATACTGGAGACATAACGAGACAAGGAGATACCGGAGATATAACGGAGATAAAAGGGAGACGGTAAGGAGGTAGTGGACAGATCAATCGGTAGAGGACACAGATCGAGATACACAGAATAGCAAAAAACAAAAAAATACAAAAAAAAAGAGAGAGAGATACACAGAACACCGAGAGAGATCTATAGAAGCGAGGCGAACACGAAGAGGGATAAACACCGTGAGAGCATAAGCATACTCACACGAGGGCATGCTCGAGTGAATCTGGCCTTCGAAGATGCGATCCAATACATCCAGAAAAGTCTACGTGTGAACACGCCCTAAGCAAGGAAAGTGAAGGCGAAGGTGAAAGTGAAGGTGAAGGTGAGGTAAAAGTGAAGCTGAAGGTAAGGTAAAAGTGAAGGCGAAGGTAAAGGGCCTTGCACCGTTCCCCATCCGCCAAGATCTTGAGTGCATCTGGGCAGCCTTTGTGGCGAGATGCATTCTAAATCTGGGCAGATGGGACGAGTGGTGCGGTAGGCCCTAGAGGTAAAGGTGGAGGTGAAAATGAAGATGGTGGTGAAGACGAGTTGCTCGTTCGCACTCACCGCGCCACTACAAAAGGACCTCAAGGTCGGCACAAACTCTCCTGCTCAACGTCCTCGATTGCCTCGACCGGACAAACAAACAAAACCCTCTACCACACTCCGCCCGCTATAAATCTTGATTGAAGCCCCCTGCTCGAGGTCAGTTTTCCCCCACTTTGTTCCCTTTGTATCTCGCCCCTCTTGTTTCCCTTTCAATTCTTGCAAATTCCTTCGTCGTGTCCTTGACAAATATGGAATGGGTAATACAAGTGAAAAAAATTGTTGAGATGCCCCTGAGAGTTGGGGTATTTTGTCAGATACCCATAAAAGGCATGGGTATGGCGAAATGCCCCTATGACAGACGTGAAACGTTGCGAATACCCCTACTGGCCAACTGGACCTGAAATCTTTGCATATACCCCTACTGGACCCTGGGAAACTAGTCTATATGCCCCAGTATTTCTGGCCATTGGACCCTGCAGATGGCAGAAGAAATGTGCGGCTGCAGCTCAGGGCCAGGGCATATGGCAAAATTGTGTATGACTGTGACGAGGAGAAGTTTGGGACATTTCAGCATACCCGTGTGCTTTTAGGCGTATCTAACAAGATACCCAAACTTGTAGGGATATTTCAACAATTGTCCCTCACAAACTTGTAGGGATGTTTCAACAATTGTCCCTCACCACTACCTTTCTCAATGTTAGGAAATATGGGAAAATAGCCTGCTCCAAAGTTTTTGGATGTCCCCAGCAGGCTGGGCAAGAAGGTAACTGCTTTGCAACAACAGCATTGTGGTGGGAGTTGCTGTTTTTGGTGAATGGTGAATGAGGGTTTCTTGCTGGCCAATCCGCTCTGAATCGTGAGGAGACGGGTGCATTTTGCAGGGTCTGTATAAGCAGTTAGGGTTCTGTAGGTACAGTCCCCTGCCGCGCGGGTGGCAGGGTGGTTTTTAGCTATGGTTGCGGATGAATGGGGAACTTTTGTTGATTGTCTTGTCCTTTGTTAGGCTTCGTTTTCGAGCAGCCACTGTATAGTCTTTGGTTGAAATTCCTCGTTGTTATGTCTTGGCGGTCAGGGTCTGAGCCCGGACGGAGTTGTAGGGACCTCGCATTGTGACCGCTTCGCAAACCGACCTCCTATCAATTCAATAGCAGAAGTTGATGAAGCTCAAGACCTCTGAAAACACTCGCAAGTAACAGTGACTTGTGTCACAAAACCAAGGCAGGCACCACCTGTCAAGTTAACTGAGATCAACTCTGTATCGCATCCTAAACTACTTAGTGGCGATGTCCGGTAATGATAGAAAAATGACAAAAATTTGGGTAACACTTCCTTCAGGGAAGTGTGCTCGAATAATATTTACTAGATGCAATCTAAGAAGAAAACTCAAAACTCGGAGACTATCTATAAATAAACTAACTCTTTGGTTTTATGACAAATTTCGGCAACACTTCTTTTAGCATGGAAGGCCTTCAAAACTCTTACCGACCTCAAAGACTAAACTAATTCTAACCTAAATGGCATCTCGAGACTTCAACTAACTCCGAGGTTTTAGTCAAAATATCGAAAACGTCTCCCCAAGGGAAGGAAACTCTCATAATTTTTGATGAATGGTGAATGAGGGTTTCTTGCTGTCCAATCCGTTGTGAATCGTGAGGAGACGGGTGCGTTTTGCGGGGTCTGTATAAGCAGTTAAGGTTGTCGCGCGGGTGGCAGGGTGGTTTTGCAAGGTTTAACTATGGTTGCGGATGAATGGGGGACTTTTGTTGGTTGTCTTGTCCTTTGTTAGGCTTCGTTTTCGAGCAGCCACTGTATAGTCTTTGGTTGAAATTCCTCATTGTTCTGTTTTGGCGGTGTGGGTCTGGGCCTGGACGGAGTTATCGGGACCTCGCATTATGACCGCTTCACAAACCGACCTCCTATCAATTTGATAGCAGAAGTTGATGAAGCTCAATACCTTTGAAAACACTCGCAGTGTAACAGTGACTTGTGTCACAAAACCAAGGCAGGCACCACCTGTCGAGTTAACTGAGGTCAACTCTGTATCGCATCCGAAACTACTTAGTGGCGATGTCCGATAATGATAGAAAGATGACAAAAATTTGGGTAACACTTCCTTCAGGGAAGTGTGCTCGAATAATATTTACGAGACGTAATCTAAGAAGAAAACTCAAAACTCGGAGACTATCTATAAATAAACTAACTCTCTGGTTTTATGAGAAATTTCGGCAACATTTCTTTTAGCATGGAAGACCTTAAAATTTATTACCGACTTCAAAGACTAAACTAATTCTAACCTAAATGGCATCTCGAAACTTCAACTAACTCCAAGGTTTTACTGAAAATATCGGAAACATCTTCCCAAGGGAAGGAAACTCTCATAATTTTTACTAACTCAGAGGCTAGTCAAAGTCTTACCAAAGCAACCATGCACGAAGACACAATACGAAAACAAAAGTAAACAACTATCTGCCTATCGCTAAAGCACAAGACGAGCACTAACAGACTACCCTACTAAAGCAAAAAACATACAGAGTTGTGAACAAAGGATAAGGTATTGCGAACAAGCATGTTATATGAACAACAACTCATTCAACCACTTCAAACCAAGGGTTCGTTCAACCAAAATTTTCATTTTCTGCTTTGTCTTGATCACACTTCTCCGTTTCTTCAAAATATGAGTCATGTATCTTATTTTATGAGTTGATCTTAGCTCTCCAAGTTGTTATCAGTCAAAACATACACATATCATTATCACATTTTTCTGGATTATTCCCACAAGGAAAATAGTCCGACTTTTTGACTTAGCAAAGCGTTCGGATAAGTCGATACGATATTATGTTCGGGTTCATTCAAACCATTACAAGCAAACAACCGCAAAGCATCTGGATCAGTCGATACGACATCACGCCAAAATCCATTTTAAATTTTAAGGCAAACGAGCAAAGCGTCTGGATCAGTTCATATAACATTACGCCCAGACTCGTTTCAAAATTTCAAGCAGAATGAGCAAAGTGTCCGGATCAGTCCATACTTTTTTACTTCAAGACCCATTTTCGACTTTCAAGCAAAACAAACAAGGCGTCTGGATCAGTCGATACCACTTCACTTCTAGACTCATTTCAAACTTTAAAGCATAATGAGAAAAACGTCCGGATCAATTGATACGACTTCACTTCAAGATTCATTTCAAGCTTTCAAACAAAACGAATAAGGCATCTGGATCAGTTTATATCACTTCTCTTTCAGACCCATTTCAAACTTTCAAGCATAATTAGAAAAACGTCCGGATCATTCGATACGACTTCACTTTTAGACTCATTTCAAACTTTCAAGCAAAATTAGAAAAGCGCACGGATCAGTCGATACGACTTCACTTTCACACTCATTTCAAGTTTTCAAGCAAAACGAGCAAAGCGTCCGGATTAGTCGATACGACTTCACTTCTAGATCCATTTAAATCATCGCGGACAAAAATCATTATTTTTTACCGCAGGCAAACGAATTAAAAAAAAAAAAAAAAACAATATACAAAAGTTCAGCCCAAACGATATAACGTGAGGTTGTATAGGTAGAGTTTTATTGGGATCCTAATGGGATCGTGTCAGCCTACCTTTGAGTTCCCTGTACTCTGGCAGAGCTCCCGTACGTTCGGTCCGTCCCGAACGCCGGTAACCCTGTATATATATATATATATATATATATATATATATATATATATATATATATTAAATATGTTCGGTCGAACACCCGAACGTGTTTGGATGTTCGTAAACGTTTCGAACATGTTCGGTGTGCTACACAGCCTATAATTTTAATCATAAATTGACCTGTTTAAAGCCAGATTAAATTATGCTCTCATTAAATAAGTAATTATGTCAAATAATAAACGTGTCCATCTCACCGACTTTTTTTTTTTCTGTTGACAACCGTAATCTTGAAAACATGTGGACATCATTTCAAGTTGTATTGAGTTCTGTGTGTCTTTGTGTTGTGTGTCTTTGTGTTGCTGGGTTTCAGCAGTTCAATTAGGCACGTGATAATTTTTGGGTCTGACCGAGACATCTCGGACTTGGTCCCGACGACATGTTTTTTTTTTCAAGAGGAGGAGGGGGGGCGACTGGCAGGCACAGGCGGATCCAGTCTCGCAATTTCAAACCGCCAATCTTGACGATTTTTAGCGCTCAGAATAATTGTCAAAAAAATCCAAACATTTGGGACTTCGTAGATCACGTCGTGATCTTTCCAAGAAAAATATCAAAATAAATCGAGAAAAAAATATTAGACGGTGAAATGCACATCGCGCCAATTTGGCATATTGCCATTTTTTCAATGTTTGTCGCTCTGCCACACGTGGGCCAACGAAAAAAATGCTCCTACTTCATGCTCAGGATAATGGCTAAAAACATCTGAAAATTTAGGATTTATTAAACTACGTTGTGAGCTTTGTAGAAAAAATATCAGAAAAAATATCAGAAAAAATTAAATCATTTAAAGTGCGAATTACACGTTGTGCCAATTTGTTTTTTTTTTTGCGTTTGCCACTTTGTTGATTCACTTGACTATCCTAGCAGTACCCCTCATGAATTTGAGTCACCGGTCCTTTGGGATATCCGTTAAAATTAGAACAGTACAGAGAAGATTAAGCATGACCCTTGCACAAGAATGACACACATGAAATCAAGAAAGGATATAAAAATAATAATAATAAAAGAATTTGTGTCACCCAACCCTCGAATGTTTTAGTGGCGAGGGGAGTGGTGGTTTAATCTCGGGCGTGGCCTAGACATCTTGGTTGTGGGCCCACCATGCGACAGATGTTTTTTTGTTTTCAATAATCTCGGGCGTGGCCGAGACATCTCGGTCGTAGCCCCACCACGTGACAATATATTTTTTTTTTCCCTCGAATGTGGCGGAGACTTTTTTTTTGTTTCATTGGACGTGATCGAGACATCTCGGTCGTGGCCCCAACATGCCATGCAGAAGAAAAAAAACTTGTATCCCTTAAGCTCAACCTATTCAATTACTTGTCGAATCTGGGCACTATGACCCTTTAGACCATTTTTATTGCCATTATAGTATTA